AGGGCGGGTACTCAGCGCATCCGCAGTCCCCAAGCGCCCTGGTCCGTCAGTCCCGCAATCCCCGACCAGGATTCCGCAGACCACGCCCCGCCTGCGGCCCCGTCCCGCCTGCGGCCCCGCCCCGCGCAGGGCGACCGCCGCACCACCTCAGTCCCCGCCCCCCATCGCGCCTGCGCCCACGCACCCCGCTCCTCAGGCCCCTCACCCCACGCCTCACGCACGCGCGTCCTGTTCCTCAGATCTTGCCCTGCGCACGCGCGCCCCACTCGTCAGCTCCTGTCCCGCGCACGCGCGCTGCGGTCCTTGGGCGAGGCTTCCACCCGCCCTGCGCACGCGTTGCACGCGCCGCACGCGCCCCGCGCGCCCCGCGTTCTCGCGCACGCCCAGGCCCCGCCCCGCGACCAATTGGCTGCGCCGCGGCTCATCCGCCCTTTATCTGCGGTGCGTCCGCCGGCGCGCGTCAGTCGGTCGGGCTCGTTGGCCGAGCGCTCGCGCGTCTTCGGGTCCCGCGTTCCAGCTGCGAACCCCGAGCCGCCGCCGCAGCGCCGTCCGTCCGGCGCCATGTCGCAGAGCGGGACCCCCGGACTGCAGGAGGAGAACTTGCAGGGTGAGGCCGCCGGGCCGGCGGGGGCGGGGGGGCCGCGCCCGGGGCTGCCGGGGGCTCGGGGGCTCGCGGGCCGGGGGGAGGGCGGGCTCCGGGGGCGGGCGGGCCGGACGCAGGGGGGTCCCGGGCGAGCCGAACCTCCGCCCCGGCTGCGGGCAGGCCTCGCGGAGCCCCGCGGGGTCGTGTTTCGCCCGTGCGCCGCCCGAGTGTGCGGGTCGGCAGACGCCGGCGGGTCGGGCCGAGCGGGGCGGCCGCGAGAGCGACCGGCGCTCGCTCCGCCCGCGTGGGGGCTCGGGTCCTGCCGCCGCGCTGCGCCGGAGGGGGAACCGCGTGAGGGTGGGGCGAGGAGGGGCTCCGCGTGCGGCTGGCCCGGGCTCCGCCGGCGCGGGACGTGCTGCCCAGAGGCCGGCGCTGCGAACCCGCGACCGGGGGACGTTCCCAGGCCTCGCGGGGATCCCGCAGACGGCTGGCCGCGGCCCCGGCCGGCCCCCTGGGTCTGCAGACCCTCCTGCTCACGGGAGCACAGGCCCGGCCCGGCCCGCTCGCCCCCAGCCGGGTAGGCGGCCTCGGCCGCTGGCGTCCTGCCTCCGGGTGGCTCCCGGGCCGTTGCCCTGCGGCCCCGTGCGGAGGTCCCGCCCGCAGCAGCACGCCGGCCCCGACCTTTAAGGTCTCCGAAGCGGGCGGTCAGCGCACGCGAGAGCGTTGGGGAAGGGCCGTGCAGAGCTTCGGCGGACTTCGCGGCGCCGCGGGCTGCTGCCCCGGGCGGAACGTCCCAGCGGGCCCCGACGGCTCTCGGGTCCTGGGCGAGGCTTCACGGGGCGGGACGGAGGCTCGCGGCGCAGCACGTCCCCGGAGTGTGCGGCCGCCGCTTCCTTGCCGCCGGCGGTTTGCTTCGGGACCGGCCCGCGGACCGGGGGTTTCAGTTCTGCCCCTTCTGGGAGGCCCTGCAGAGCCGCTAGGACCCCGAGCGCCGGCCTTCCCAGTGGCCGGGCTGCCCCGTCCGCGGCGCTGCTGGGCGCGCAGCTGAGGTGGAGTCTCCGCGGGTCCGGGCCTCCCGAGGGGCTCTGCCCCGCTCCGCGGCGGACCCCCGTGCTGAGTCATGGGCGGCGCTGAGCTGCCAGCGTCTGGGCTAAAAGTGCGTTTCTGTGCTGCTTATTCTGTAACAAGGCGGTCACACGCGGCCTGGAAGCCCGGGTTGAGGCTTCTCCGGGCCCGGTCCGGGGCGTACGTGCTGCGGGGCACTGGCCCGCCGGCCGCGGTGGGTGGAGTCACTCGCCTCACGTCACGTGGGGCCGCACAGCTGCCCGGAGGAATGGGAATCCAGGCCTGGTTCCTGGCCGAGCCGGTGCTTGCCCCTGCCTGTCCTGGCGGTATGACCTCTGGTTATGTTTGGAGCAGGGACTGCGCCGGCCTGGTGAGCCCACGCGCCGCAGAACTGTGATTTCTGCCCACGATCGTTCTGCTTGAAGCCCTTGTCCAGCGGGACCGGTCAGTGCCTGCCCCAGGCCCCGGGGGAGAGGAGCTCGCTGTGCTGATGGTGACGGCGTCATGGGGAGGGGGTTGCCTCACTGACTGCCCAGGGGACGCTGGACGCGAAGCTGAGCTGCTCATGCGCGCGTGGCTTCGGGGAGGGGAAGCCCCCCCCACCCCGCGCCCCCGTGCTCTGCAGCCAGCCCCACGGCCGCTCGGGCGAGCAGCCCACTGTGGCCACAGGTGTCTGAGGAGGAAAAGCTGATTTTTTTTGAAGGGAAATTGTAGTATTGTGAAGTTCGACAGCGAAGGGGTTTCAGCCCCTGGATCCTGGCCCATCCCCCACATGTCACAGATGGTCACCGTGAGAGGCCCCGAGGCCGAGTGGAAAAGAGGGCAGGCGACCCCAAGTCGAGGGAGAGGGGCCCGAGGGAAGGGCGGTGGGGTGCTGGGAGCCGGAGTGACGACAGCCCAGACAGCCGGGAGCTGCCGCCCTTCCTGGGGAGGAAACGGGGGCTTATCCCGAGGGCTCCAGCCAAGTCCGTTCTTCAGTGCAGAGTAGACGGGCCTGGCAGGTCTCATTCCCGTCTCCCCTAACCCGAGAAGCCTTTGTCTGTTACTTATTTTCTGGAACACGGTTTTATGACGGAAACAGTGGTCGTGTTTACAGAGCGCTTTGAGAACCTGCCGTTTCCTAAATAAAACGCGCCTCTCCCAGGAGGAAGCCTGCTCTGCCCTGCCGTGTCCAGCTCCCCTGTGTGAGGACTGCGTCCCACCGTCCCGAAAGTTACTGGGGTGCCTGCCGCTCCCCTCGTCCGAGCTCTCCCACCCTGGCTGCCCAGCGTCTCCGTTACAACTTGAGCAAAACGTTCGTGTGCTGGTTCTGCCTCCGCGTTCCAGACCAGCCTCCGGAGTGCTGGCTGGGGCTTCTGGAGAGCCTCGGGGCTTCCCACAGCTGCCAGGGCCACGCCGTGGGGTGGCCTTCCTCGTGGGCTCCACCTTGGTGGCCGGAAACACTTGCCCTGGGTCGTGGAGTAGGGCAGTGGGGCTAGGGGTGTCTTCCTGTGTCACAGGAGAGGCAGGAGCTGTGCTGGGCACCCCGTCTCTAGCTTGTGGGGAGACGGGACGTGGGCTCGCTGTGTGCGCCGGCGTCCTGTTAGCGACGTGTGTGTTGGGGAGACGGCAAGGAGGGGCCGTGCAGTTGGGGGGCCGGCCTGCCTAGGCCGGTAACACCATGGTCTGTTTTTTTTTTGATTATGCCGAGTTAGTTGATCCGTTGTGATTCTGAGGTCGTGAAGCTGCCTTAATCCCCGCGTTTCTTGCTCACAGGTGAGTGATCTTAACACCTGGGTGACGTGGGTGGCGGGGTAGCCCGCCCCGTCCCTGGCCCCGTGCTGTGCTTCCTGCCCAGTTGTCCAGGTTAATAATAAAACGCTCGTCCTGGTAAATCATTCTTGGAATACGGCTTTTGGACTCCAAGGCATGGACAGTCCAGCACGGGCCTTTTTGCTTTCTCAGGTGCTTCGGGCTTTCCGGGACGCGCTTGTAAAAACAGGAGTTTGTCTCATGGGAGTCTTCAGTTGGTCCTTGTGTAGCAACACAAAAAGCACGTCCGTGCATCTCATGGTGTTACGCGTTCGTTATGTGTGTTTATTTTTTTACATCTGGAAGACTTGGTTTGTAAGTAACGTCCGCGCCCACCACGTAGTGTGACCGCAGCGCCGGGACCAGGAGTCGCGAACTCCTCCGGCGGAGCCGGCGCGGCCTCCAGTTGTGTCGGCTGGAAAATGTTCGTCTGTGACCTTTCTCCCTCTTTGTGGCACTGGGCCCCCCAAACCCTTGGAATTTGAGTGATCTTAGTGGCTTATCGATAAAGGGCCCTGACCGTGAGGTGCTGCTTTGGAACACAGCGTGTGGTGGTGCGGTGGCTCGGTGGGGCCGTGGTTGCCCCCCGGGGTGGGATCAGAGGGTGGACACCCCCCTCCAGGGATGGCGGGGGCTGCAGATGGGTTAGACGACATGCAGCGAGGTTCAGAGACACTGCATTGGACGAGCCGACTGCGGGAGCGTGGCCCCCCCTTCCTCGTACCCAGCGCGGGGGTCTTTCTGGCGGGCGTACCTGAGCTCTGTCCTGCCCGATAACTGGGTAAAGGGAAGTAAAGTGGCTTCCTGAGTCCGTGAGTTGCTTAGGCAGTGACTGCACCTGGGCCGGGCGTCGTCGGAGCCCCGAGCTTGGGGTCTGCAGCGGGTGCATGAGGAGCGGGACGAGCCCGTGTCGGCTGCTCTGCCCGAGAATCCGTCTCTGGCTTGTGTGTGTTGGGGGGGGGGGGACTGACAACGCCCGCGCCCTCCCCACCCCGGTCGTGTCAGAAGTGATGTCCCCTCTCAGACTCGGTTGACCTCACGCAGCACAGGCTGCCTGCGCGCACCGTCGCCTAGCGGAGTGAGCCGGGCCAGGCCTGGCATCTGCGTGGCGGGGAAGGAGCCGCGGAGGACGGAACTGGCCCGGGCTGGTCTGCCAGTCCCCCGAGGGGCTCCAGGGCGGGACTCCCACTCCAGAGCTTTCTTCACGACGCGTCGGGGTCAGGAGGCACGGAGCTCCATTGGACGCGTGGTCGCCGGGGTGTGTGGAATGGCCTGGAGTCACCGCAGCTCCTGGGGATGGCTGGCTGCGGCCCTGCCCTGCCTCCTCGTGCCTTAGGGACCTGCTGGTGTGGGCCAGGCCAGCCTGAAGCAGTTGAGCGAGAGAGAGACAAGGTCGCACGTCACTGGAAAGCTTGTGTGGTCTTTGTTAGCGAGCTGGGTGCCGGGGTCTTTGCCGTTTTCTGATGCAGGTGACCTGTTCACTGCCACGGGCAGGTTGGGATTCCGGAGAGCTGCCTGTTGGGCTCCCTGGGCAGCTGGAGGCCTGCTGGTGCCTCCGTGCACACGCCAGAGGGGAGCGGGTGGGGCCCGGCGAGCGCACGATGGGTGGGTCTGTGCTGTCGCGGGTCCCGGTGCCGGTGCTGAAGTTACCTGCGAATGTGGCTCACGGCGGGTCTCTGGTCCCTGCGTTTCTGTCTTCTGGGGTCAGCCTTCACCCTGCCCATACTGTCCCGTCCTCCATAGGCCACCAGAGTGGCCTCTAACAGATGGTGCTGGAGACACACAGACCCGTGACACAGTAGAGACACTAACCGTCTTGGGCTCAGAAACGGGCCCAGCACGTGGCCAGTCTGACTCCTGGCAGAGGAAGTAGCGCGGCCGGGGGCAGCGAGGCCGTCTGGTCAGCGAGTGGCGCGGAGCAGCTGTTCGCCCGCAGGGACGACCTCCCCCACTGGGGACCACGTGCACAGCCGGAAGCCGGGCTCGGTAAACACCAGCCGGGTCTCCAGGCCTCCAGCGTAGGAAGAGATTGAAACTTTGAATTAAAAGCAAAGACTTAAACGTTGGAAAGAACGGGACATTGAACCTGAAAACACAGGTCGCGGGGGACATTGTTGTGCATGTTTGGGTGCAGAAAGGCTCGTATCTTACATGTGAATCTCCCACAGGAAGAGTAAGAGGTTTTTGAACCACTAATTTATCTCCTTTTTTTTCAGAGAGAGCGAGCGAGCGTGGAGGGGCGGGGGGCGGGGGAGTCTCAGGCAGAGCCCTGCAGAGCGCGGAGCCTGACAGAGGTCTCGACCTAAGGACCCCAAGATCATGACCTGAGCCCAGACCAGGAGTCAGGAGTCCGACGCAACTGACTGAGCCACCCAGGTGCCCGTGAGCAGCTCATTTAAAAAGATGCTGTCCGAGCGGCCAGTGAGCACGGAGAAGATGGCCGGTTCCATTCGGGGTCAGAGAAACGTCAAAGGAGCCGCACAGGACACGGTCCCAGAACGGCCGAACATGAAGACTGGTTTATTGGGAGGACCAGGTCTTTCCCAGGACCCCTGAACGTGCATGCGCTGCTGCTGGCCGCGGGCCTGCCCCGGGTCCGTGTGGACAGAAGCGAGTGTGTGGCTGCCACAAAACGTGAGCAGTATGGGGGCGCTGAGGTGGCCCAGTCGTCTAGGGGACTGACTCTTGGCTTCAGCTCAGGTCGCGACCAGGGTCCCTCCCGGTGCGCACTCGCTCGCTCTCTCCTCGCACACAAGCCAGGCCTGAAACACGCAGTTACAGCAGGACTCGCGGCCGCAGACCTAACGGGTGGACGGTGTGTGGTGGAGCAGCAGGTGCTCGTGAACCACAGCAGCGTGCGGGGTGCTCAGCCGCCAGCGCTCGGTGGCCCCCACGTCCCCCAGGCATTGCTGTCGGGTCCACCTCACCTCCCCGGCGGGGCCGAGCCTGCTGCTTGCCGTGCTTCCAGGACGTGTGTGTGGGGCTCGCAGCCGCCCTTCCCCGGGCTGGGGCTGCTCCTGGGCTCTGCCAGCTGTCGGCTTCCCCAGACATGGGCTGCAGCTGCGCAGCCTGTACTTGCCGCCCGGGACGGCGGTGCTGACGTGTCGGTCCCTCTGTGACGTGCTGTGCCTGGGACGGTGCTGAGGTCGGAGAGAACTTCATGGAAGTGCAGCCACGGGGTGGCCACAGACCAGCCTTGCCGAAGACCGTGGCTCGTGTCAGGCGTGGGGGTGGGCCAGGGGTGGCAGGTTCTCCAGTTTGGGCTAGCGGCCGATCGGCGCCGAGACCGCTCTGTTCCTGCAGAATGTGGAGCGCGGCCGCGCGGGATGTTCACTTTCCTGCGGTCATTCCTAGTCGGAGAAGGCAGACTCCTTCCTGCAAAGACGGGGCTATCGGAGCTCGTCGGGGATGGCTTGCCCTGGTCAGTCACGTTCGGGGGAACCTGCCTTGGTGCTAAGCGGAGTATGTTCTCTGGCTCTGAGGGGAGTGAGCACAGACCAGCAGTCCGGGGTTCGTGGGGCGTCAGGACGCGAATGCGATGCTGCTGTGGAACGACGTGGCGCGGGGATCGTGCAGACCCTCAGAGAACTTCAGTCTCTTAAGCGCTCGTCGAGCCCTTTGTCTTAAAGTTGAGCGGACAGAAAGCATCACGGTCTGTTGGCCTCCGCTGGCCCAGTGGGTGGCCAGGCACCTGCCCCGCGTCTGGGGGTGGCAGGAGACTGGCCGGTGCGTGTCCTGGGGCGCTGGGGTGCACCTGCGGGAGGTGGGCGCCAGGCGTGCGTGTCGGTGTGTTTCAAGGCGTCCGGCTGCGGCGACGCTAGGACGGGGCTCCACAGTGGGCAGCAGATCCCACCGGGCCCTTCTGTGTCTCGCCAGGCTCCTGGGTGGAACTGCACTTCAGCAACGGGAACGGGAGCGGCAGCGGCGTCCCGGCCTCCGTGTCTGTGTATAACGGCGACCTGGAAAAAATACTGCTGGACGCCCAGCACGAGTCTGGACGGAGTAGCTCGAAGAGCTCCCACTGCGACAGGTGGGTGTGAAGGGGCCCGTCTGCGCGTGCGGGTTTACCCCCAGCACAGGCCGCGTCCCGGAGTGGCCTCCCCACCCCTGCCTGCATTGCTGGAGCCTTGCCCTCCGCCGGGAAGGATGGGGTCTGGCCTGTGGAGGGACCGCGGTAAAGCTTGGGGCCTGGGGGGTGGCCAGCACGCACCCAGTGCCCCCGGCGTGTCCTGGCTCCGTCAGCTTGGTCCCTGCGGGCTGCCGTGTGTTAGCAGGGCCGAGTCAGAAAGCAAAGGTCGGGCCCGCGGGCTGTGCCGCAGAGCACAGACCCGGTGAGAAGGCTGCAGGCGCGCTGCACCGTGGGTGGTGTCGGCCCGGCTCCCTGCCGCCTGCCGAGCTCAGCCCAAGGGGACCGGGGACAGTGGGAGGGGAGACCTGGGGGTCGGGGCGGCGCTTCCTCCTTTCAGAGGAGACAGGGCCAGGCGTGCGGGGGGCGTGGCTTCTCGTAACAGAAACCGTGCTAACATCCGGGTTTCTCTGTCCTCCCCCTGCGCCCCCCAAGCCCGCCTCGCTCTCAGACCCCGCAGGACACCGCCCGCGCTTCGGAACTCGACACGCACAGCGTCGGCGAGAAGAACAGCTCTCAGGTGGGCGGCGCGGGCAGGGGCGCGGAGCAGAGAGCGGTGTTCCCGGGGCGCGGGGCTCTTGCCTTTCCTACAGCTGCGGTGGGGGCGTCCCCACACTCGGTCTCCCGCTGAGCTGGCCGGAGCAGGTGTCGTGGGGCCTCCACTGCCCTCAGCTGCACCCGAGGACACACGAGGAGCGCGGGCGGCTTCCTCAGGCCCGGAGCCCGGCCAGACCCACGGGGCTGGCAGGGGGGGCCCTGGGGCCACTCAGCGTTGGCGCTCTGCGCGGCTGGCAGTCGGGTTGGCCCTGCCGCGCCGAGCGGTTCCTTCGCTGTTCCGTGTCAGGAGCAGGCGGGCCAGTTCGGGTGAGGCCCCTGCGCGCACCTGCGGTGCGTCTGGGTCTGACGTGCGGGGCGGGGCTGCGTCCGGCTGCCCGGGAGACGGTCTCGGGGAACGCGGGCCCTGGTCCCCTCGGACTGCCGCCCTGGCGCGCGGTGGGGTGTGGGGGAAGCATCCTCTGGGCGTTCTCAGTGGTGGTCACGAACAGTGGACCTTCCCTGTGTTGATTCCAAAATCGCTTAGGAAGCGGGGTCTTGTGACCAGTACCACTGAGGCCCTTGATCCCGTGGGGTCCCCCTGCCGGGCCTCCCTCCCACCCAGGCTTCGTTCCTCCCGGGTCCCCCAGGTGGTGGTCTCGCAGCTGGCTGGGTTTGCTCCTGCGTCCCAGTGTGGCCAGAGTTGGAAGCAGTGGTGTTGCCGACTTGAGGAGGAATTACAGACTCAGGTTCAGAGTTTTTTAAAAGCAAAAAACCAGAAAGCCTCCTGTCGTTAGTGTTTGGCCTTACGTATCGCGGGTGTGTGAGGTTTTGGTTCTTTCCCTCCCCCTGAGCGAAACTGCCCTTTCAAAGACCGCGGCGCGCGGCCCTGGGTCGCCCCAGCCGTGTGGGCCGTGGAGCACTTGGATTTTCTCCTCGGGAAACCTGCCCCGCGGTTGGCGTGGGCGTGTGGACGCCGTCGTCCCCCTGCGCCCTGTTCCTCAGGAGCCCGCGTCTGCTGCCCCGTGTCTGTCTGGAACGGGGGGACGCGCGGCGCGGGGCACGGCGGGGCCGGGCGGCGCTAAGTGGCGGTGCACGTTGATTCTCTCGTAGTCGGAGGAAGATTATATGGAGAGAAGGAAGGAAGTCGAGAGCATCTTGAAGAAGAACTCGGACTGGATCTGGGACTGGTCGAGTCGGCCAGAAAACATCCCCCCCAAGTGAGTGTGTGCGATGGTGCGGGGGCGTCCCGGGCACGGGGCTGGGGGCTCACTGCGTGTCCCCCTCCCAGGGAGCTGCTGTTCAAGCACCCGAAGCGCACGGCCACGCTCAGCATGAGGAACACGAGCGTCATGAAGAAGGGGGGCATCTTCTCGGCGGAGTTCCTGAAGGTCTTCCTCCCGTCCCTGCTGCTCTCTCATCTGCTGGCCATCGGGTTGGGGTGAGTGAGGCTGTGCGGGGCTGCCTCCGTGTGGTCCTGAGGGCAGGGGATCTGGAAACCTGTCCTCCAGGTGCAGATCGTCAGTCCGCTTCCGTAACGTGAGGCCCGGATTGCGGGCCCAGACCCGGGAAGGGCCCCAGCCCCCGCGCTCCTGGCCCTGCTGTGGGGGTGGCCCCGATGGAGCCCTGAGCGTGTGTCTGCCTGGTGCCTCCTTGACCGTCCCGTGTCTGTGGACTCCGCCACACTCGTTCCGTTCTCGCACCACGTGGACGGACGCTGCACGGACACGCTGAGCTGTCCCTCGCTGCAGCTGGCCGGCCCGGGAGCCGCCCCACATCCACAGCGCAGCCGTGCTCCGCAGCAGGGGAGCGAGCCCCGCTTGGCTCTGGTGTCTCGCGCCGCGGGCCGGGCTCCCCTCCAGCCTCTGTCTTGGGGTGCCGCGGCGTTCAGTGCATGCAGCTGGCCGGACAGACTGGACGGTCGCCGTGAGCGTCTGATGGAGGCTGGCCTCCCGGGCCCCAGGGAGATGGGACGAGACAGGCCTGGAAGCACCGTCCCCCTATTTTCCCAGATCCTGGGGATGGGGCGCAAGAGACCTGGGGTGTTTGAAGTCTTAGGGCAGGTGGGCGCTTCCTGGTCTTGGCAGGTTCCGTCTCGCCCGCCAGCTCTGTGGGAAGCAAGCACAGGGCTGCCTTCCCCGTGCTCCCTTCAGAGCCCCATACCCTCGTTCTGGGAACTGTGCCTGGGACATGGCTTCCCAGTGGGCCAGAGGCTCCTGGACGTCAGTGTCCAACGTGAAGCCCTCCCCCTCCTGGGCCAGACCGTGCCCCCTTCCGGCTCGGAGCTCTGGCTCTCAGCACGGCCCCGCCGGCGTCATCCTGGCCCACGTGTCTCAGATCCGGGCTCGGTTTTCTCCAGGGCTAGCAGGTTAGGCTCTGTGGAAGCAGGGCCCAGGGCTCGTTCAGTCCCTGGCTTGGGCCTTCGTTTCAGGGTAAGTCCCTGCGGCCCGCTGCCACGCGCCGTCCCTGCCCCTCTCTGCTTCTGCCAGGCTCGTGGAGCTTCTGGTGCCCGAAGTCCAGCCTCCCGTTCCTCTGAGGCGGCTCCCGGCAGGACCTGGGGCTCTCTGCCCGCGGGTGCAGTGGGTGGTGACGCCCCGTGGGTGGCTCCCCAGCAGCGTGTCACTGTGTGAACTTAGAGACCGACCACGACGGCCTTTCTGTGGCTGGCTAGTGACCGCCTCTGTATGGGGACCGAGCGCATCCGTGCGAGAGCACAGCTGGCCGTTTTCCGAGGTGGATGTAAAAACGGGACCCTAACCCTGACGCGCTCACCTGGCGAGAGACCCTTACGGAGAGATTCAGCACCAGCTTCTTAGTAGAGATCGAGGGTAGCCGGTCTTCACGGCCGGAGCTCTAGGCCGCCCGCGCACCCAGTCTCCGCCGGGAGAGCCGTGGGCCCTGTGCTAACTGCTGTTGCTTTCTCTGTGAAGGATCTACATCGGGAGGCGCCTGACCACTTCCACCAGCACCTTCTGATGAAGACTTGGAAGCTGGCCTTTGTCCCGTAGTGGGGGGTCGGCGCTGTGAGCTGAAGAGCCGCTTGGGGCCGAGTGGAGCCTCTCGATGCGGCCGGATGGTCTGCGGACCGTGTGCTCCTCGTCCGCTAGAACGAAGGACAAGACAAACACCCCCACACGCTAAGCTGTAATCAAACCTACGGGATCAGTTACTGCGCACGTGCTGCTGAGGGACGCCTGTAGTAGTTGGGTAGTGAGTTTTGTTCGGATACCCTTAGTAGCCGAGTGTAAGTAATTCCAACACACTAGATACGACGTGTAGTATTTTAACAAAATTACCTGTATCCAGTTACTCAGTTAAAATACTTTATATTTGAGAAGAATGAATAATGTTTATTAAAATAAGAATGAATGTTTATTAAAATGACTACATATGGGGTTTGTCCCGAGTGAATACTGTGGCCTTACACTCACACGGTGTAGGAAGTGCTGGGTGTGAGTGGGCAGGTTGTCTCCGCTGCAGACTCCGCCGACCGCCACGCAGCGGGGTCCGAGGAGCGGACGCCTACTCCTGCGTCCGCCTCCGACACGAAGCCGCGGGCCCTGCAGCCACCCAGGACAGTCGTCGTCTGTCTTGGGCACCTGCTCACGTCTTCCTCCCTTAGCGCCTGGATTGCTGACTCGAGTCCTTCTCTTTGTGTTCGGTTTCTCCTAGAATCCGCTTCGTTCTAAGCAGACCTCTGTCCAGAAGAGACTGGAAATAGAAAAAAATAAATCTCGGCCAAATCCTTCAGAGATGACTGTGATCATGTATGGTTTAAATGAAATGTTTAAAAAAAAAAAAAAATAAAAAAATAAAGGTCAGAAAGTTTTCTGATTAAACCAGGCGTCCGCCCCGCTGTCCCGTTACCTTCCTGAGGCGTGACCTCCGCAAGGCTGCCTCCTGGGCCCATGTCCCCATGTGTATCTGTTCTGCATTTCCACCCTCAGCTCAGTTGTGTTAAACAAGATTTTCGTTTTTAACGTTTCTGCTTACATTTACCCTGGACCAGCCGTGGACCGCCGCCTCACCGGGAGAATCGTTCATGTGACTTCTCCAGAAAAGGTGAACCCCCAGTCACGGGGACGTGCTCTGGCCCAGCCAGTTCCTGTGACACAGCGGATGGATTTGCCTCTCGCTGGACACGGGGGCTCGTCGTTCCGCTGCTGGGGTCCGGAGCGCCCACCCGTGGGGGCCGCAGCCAGCAGGGCCGCGCGAGGGCCCCTCGTCTTCAGGATTGGGCACTACCCCGTGGCTTTCCCGAGCCATCGCCTGGGCGCCTGGGGGCCCTCTGCAAGGCAGTCCTTAATCCCCGTCTCAGTGGCACTGAGCAGTGAGCAGAACTGGGTAGAAGGCCTCCAGGGCTGTTGGGAAAGTGCTTTTCTGAGTGACCTGGGAATTGAGCCTTGGGCTTTCTGGAGGCCCTTCCCACTCAGTGTGAGGGTGGACACTGGACTCCTTGAAGCACTGTATTTGTGTGGGTGTGTGTGGGTGTCCTCGCGTTTGGGATAATCGCGCTGTAGGCCTTGGGGTCTTGCAGGTGGCCCTTTGTACTTGCCACTGTGCTGAGTAGCAAGTGCATGTGCTCAGACTGTGTTAAGGAATCCGGACACGGAGCTGGTCCTGAACGCAGCTTCTGGTCCCGACACCTGCAGGCTCCAGTGGGGCGCTGGGGCGCGGGGAGCACAGGCGGATCTGGCTCTGGAGAGAGACCAGGCACCTGGAAAGCCACCTGCTCCTTCCTTCTGACCTGTGACCCACTCGTAGGAATCTGTCCTGAAGATGAACCTCTGGAGGCCCGATACCCTTCGGGAACGTGTCCAGTAACACATGCCACGTAGCGGCTCAGTGCGGGTGCGCAGCTGGCCCGGTACACGTGCCATGGGGCTCCCGTGCTGGAGCCCAGTGTGGCTTCTCAGAATGACCAAGAGGTTTCAAGAAACGGGGCTTTCTGGGGTGTAGGTTCTCCAAGACACGGGCACTGGAGTTGGTGGCTGGCAGCTAGAGCATGGCCGCCACGTTTCGACTGGTCGGTCTCCCTGCCTGATTTCCCTTCCGGGGACCGGCCTGCTCGGGTGGCGGGAGGCGGGGGCAGTGCTCTGGGCCAGCTGCGCTCCCAGGGACTCTGAGTGCCTCGGGGAGAGGCTGCCTGGGGAGGGCGGCCCAGCTTGGACATGGGCCTTCTGGCATCAGACGAGCTGCCCAGTGGATACTAACCATGGAGGAGAGAGGAGCTGGACCCAAGCTGCAGCCTGGTGAACAAAAAGCATTTGAAAGAAAACATATGGCGTCTGTTGTTTGTGCAAAACCGCATGGAAGAAAATAGAACTCACTTGGGAAAAAGGACAGACGGATCTAGAAGTGCAGGAGACCGGCTGCTGCTGGGGGTGGGGTGCTGGCGGGTGGGTAGGGGGAGTGGGGCAAGAAGGAAGGCTTAATGCCTTTTCCGTGACTCAGAACCTGAGCGATGCTTCTCAGCCAGAATCCGTACCTAAAACCAACATTCTCGATGGGATTCAAAATGGAACGCCAAGAGGGACACTCGACTCTTAAAGGAGGCTGCCCTGGCGGGGTGGGGGAGGTGGACCCGCAGACGCACAGAGTGGCCAGGAAGGGGTGGGTCGTAGCCGGTGGGGGATGCGAACGGGGCACCTGGAGCCGCTCATGGTCCTAAGCCACGGCCATCCACGCGAGTGTGCAGGAAACCCGTATCTAGCTTTGTGCAAAGGGCTTGATGGCCATCAGCGGCGGTGGGCCGGCCGTTGTCTGGGCCGGGAGTCAGGAAGGGCTCAAAGCCAGCACAGAGGACGGAAGCCAAAGTGGAGGAACCCAGATGTGGGACAACCGAGGCACAAGCTACAGCAGTAATGGACGTTGACCCAAGACTGGTGGGCGTGCCCGGGTCCACACCGACAGCAGAGGTGGGAGAAAGGCACCGTTCTCCCTCAGGACTGCAGCTCCACGCAGAAGGGCTGACGGGAGGACTGGCCAGCAGGCGAGCAGCTGCCCAGCCCGTGAGGGCTGCAGTGAGTGGGCAAAGGTGTGAAGACGGCAGGATGTCTTCCCCCGGAGAGTCCTCACAAAACGGGAACTCTCAGCGTGACGGCGAGGAAGCCTCGTGCGGCCGGAAGCCACCCACGCACACACGGTCAGCACCCTCGAGAGGGGCGGCCGGAGCCCGGGGCTGGGGAGTCTGGACCCTGTGCTGCCGCCCAGTGTGACGTGGGCCGCTGGCTGGCTCTGCGGGTGGAGAGTTCAAGCCCCCACGGGGCACAGAGATGACGTTCACGTCTCGGGGTGCCTGGGGGGCTCCGTCGGTGAAGCTTCCAGCTCTTGATTTCGGCTCAGGTCATGATGTCAGGGTTGTGAGATGGAGCCCCGCGTGGGGCTCTGCGCTCCGCGGGGCGTCTGCTGGAGAGTCTCCCTCTCCCACTGCCCTTGCCTGCACGCCCTTTAAAGTATTTTTTAAAAGATTTTATTTATTTGAGTGGGCACAAGTGAGGGAAGGGGCAGAGGGAGAGGGAGAAGCAGGCTCCCCAGGGAGCAGGGAACCCGACATGAGGCTTAATCCCACCCAGGACCTGAGCCAAAGACACGCTTAACCAACCGAGCCACCCAGGCGCCCCTGAAATGAATCCTTAAAATAAGATAAAATCTTTAGAAAAACTGTTAAAAACACCCAACAATGAATTTAAGACCATGGGCAGTGACCTCCCTGACCCTGATCTTGGGGATGGGTTTTTGGATTTGAGACCAATGCAAAAGCAACAAAAGCAAAAATAAACCAGGGGGACTAGAGCAAGCGGAGAAGCTGGTGCTCGCCCCGGGGGGCCGCGGGCATGACGGAGCAGCAACCTGCGGAGGACAGAATGTCTGCACATCGCGTGTCTGAGGGAGCTGACCTTCAGAACAAGCCCCACGCCCTCCTCTGACCCGTCGCTTGGGTTAAAAACGGGCAGAAGACACGAGCAGACCCTTCTCCCGAGCGGACGTGCAGACGGCCAGCAGACACGGGAAGCCGCGCTCCACGTCGCGGCCATCAGGCAGACGCACATCCGAACCGCAGTGAGCGCGGCCTCGCGCCTGTCACAAGGCTAACATCAGAACAGCAGGTGCTGGCAAGGGTGTGGGGAGAGGGCGCCCTCGGGCCGGCCGGCGGGGTGCGAGCTGCCGCGGCCGCTGCGCACAGCGGAGGCTCCTCCGGCCGGTGAAGACCGCTGCCTGTGCGCGGGAGCCAGCAGAGCACTGATCGGACGCTACACCCCGCCCTGGTTCCTAGCGCTGCGTCCCACAGCCCAAATTGGGAGACAACCTAAGTGTTCACCTTAAACGGGTGAAATGTGCGCTCCCTGTCTCGCACACACACGAATACTACGTACCACAAAACAGCAGGAAATCTTGCCATTTCCTTCATTTCCAACGTGGCGGACCCCGATGCCGGACGCTGAGTGAACGAAGTCCGGCACCGCCCGAGCTCACTGGCCTGTGGATCTTTCGTTTTTAAGATGTTATTTGAGAGGCAGAGCGCACGAGCACGGGGAGGGGCAGGGGGAGAAGCAGACCCTGCTGAGCGGAGAGCCCACCGTGGGGCTCCCTCCCAGGGCCCTGAGATCATGACCTGAGCCGAAGCAGACGCTTCACAGACGGAGCCCCGGGCGCGCCCCCACGTGGGATCTAAAACCAAAGCGAACCAACCATCAAGCTCACGGACACAGGAGGGGGCTGGTGGCCGCCAGAGCTGAGTCGGGCCGGCAGAAACGGGCGGAAGGAATGAAAAGGCACCGCTGTCCGGCTGTACACCCAAGCCGGGGACGGAAGTCGGGGCGTGGGGACTACAGGTAGTAACAGCACCTGGAAGCTGCGACGGGAGCAGCTGAGAGGTTCTCGTCACAGGAAACGGGGTTCTGTGAGCGTCAGGGCACCGACACCGGCCGGAGTCACTGTGGTGCTCACTCCCCAGCGTCAGCAGACAGTGACCACGTCTCCCTGAAACTGGTCTCTGTTCCCTGTACCTCGATTGAAAAAAAAAAGGAACTCACCTTTCTAACAAGAACCATAGAATTACACTGCGTTAAAATACTTCGATTTCAGAGAACGTACTTGTCCAATGAAAGTTCTTGGAATAACGACAAATTCCTGCTCCTCACCCCCACGGAACACACATTTTCAAAGATGTCTTGAGATCTGCAGAGACACTGACCATGACCTCTGGGGCAGACGAGTGGACAGTCTCAGTGCCTCTCAGAGGTGCACCTGACAGCCTGGGGAGGGTGTGAGGCTGCGAGGGAGCCCCCCATGGGGGGCAGGGCCCTCCCCACACCTCTGGACCCGCTGTGCTCCAGCGGCCGCCTGCATAGCCATGGACCCCGGCCAGGAGCAGGCTGTCGGCAGTGCCCCCAGGGTGCCGGCGACGCGCCCCGGAGTGTGCGGCCCGGAGGGGATCTCCCACAGAACGCATGTGCAGATCCGCGCAGGTACGGGGCTCTGTCGGGACTTACCGGGTACGGGGTCATCAGAGAAACCGTGGTGTCACTAGCTCTCGCCATCCTCGACGGCACGGAGCCGAGGATGAACGCGGGCCTGTGTTTGGGGGAGAAGTGCCACCTGAGGCAGGACAGGAAGACGGGCCGGGTGGTCCCACGCGGTGGAAGCCCAGACTCCCAGCCAAGGGGGCAGCCGCCTGCCCTGGACACCCGGTGCTGGGACGCCACCGGCATTCACGCTCTGAGGACAGGGACACGCTGCCGGACGAGGTGCACATGGGGCCAGCGGACGCCAGGCCCAGCGGACCCCCCTCCACACATTCTTCTGCTCGTCGCTCCGGGGCCACAGCTCCACAGTGAGCACGCGCTCCGCATCTTGTACGCACCCGCCCCTCGCCAGCTCTTGGGGGGCTGCAGTGTGGGGCCCAGAGGCCCAGCGAGCAAGCCAGAGCCTCCCACTATGACCATGTGCCACCGGGTATCCACCTGGACCCCCAGCGGACTGGTGTGGGGGAACCGCTGGCCGAGGGGAAGGGGTGCGCACCATCAGGATCCACGCCCAGGCCGGTGACGCCCCATGACTGCTTGTGACGGCCCGTGTTGGGGGCAGCGCTGCCTTTTACCCATGTGTCGTCCTGACCCCAGACCGTGCAGAGACCCCTGGGGTGCTCCGTTTCCTGGGCACAAAGGAGTCCCTTCGCACTGAGGGTGGGACCCAAGGCTAGCAGGGTGGAGGCCGGCCAGGCAGGTGTGAGCGGACCATGCGATCGGTCCGGCCCAGCGAGCAGAGGAACTCGGGCTCAGCAGGCCGAGGCCCGAAGGCTGCCGTCTGGGGGCCCCGGGTGCCGCCTTCTCTGCACCGGGAAGGCCAAGGACCGGGTCTTGGTTGGTTTTCAAACCAGCTCGTGCAAGACTTTTCTGGACGTGCTACACTCAGCGGCCAGAGCACCCGAGCCGGGCCGCAACGGGAATGATGGTTCTGTCGCCGCTTCACCCCCCGGCAGGGTCCTCGGGCAGCCCCCACCTCAGACCGGGGCTCTGCGCGAGGACCGACATCCTCCGGACGGCAGGGCCTGCTTCTCCTTCCCCTCCGGAGCCGAGTCGTCGCCGTCACCCAGGCCGACCGGGTCAGGGCTCCCGCTGCTCCGTGCACAGGGCACGGGTCTGAGAGAGAAGTCCAAGTGCGAATTCGGACCTCCTTCTCAACCCCTTAAGCAAAGACCTGCAGATGAGTCCTCCTGAGCACAGCATGGACCAGCAGAGCCCCCGGCTCAGCCCGGCTGCCAGGGACGCCCGCGGGGGCTGCCTGGGGCGCGGGGCACACGGCCTCCGACTGCGGACTCGGGCCGCTTAGCTCCTCCGAGAGCGGGCAGAGCCGTGGCCTTTGCTGTCGTCCCACTGCAAGCGCCCGTGATTTGCGGACGGCTGACCACCAGGCTGCTGAATCTCACACTAGCTTATGAGCAGCTCGGTTTTTCTTAAAAAGAAACAAAACAAAAAAAGCGTGTGTAAATCCACACACGAATAAAGCGTATTCACCCCGACGCAGGTGCCCAGCCTGGAGAACGTGAACGCTTTGAGGAAAACAGCACAGAATTCTAAGAATGAAACCGTTCACACAACTCACTTTCAGGAACAGGGACGGTGTCTGTAACGTGAACGAGAGAACGGGGAGCGCCGTGGCGGCCGCAGGGCAGCGCTGCCCTCCGCGGGGGCCCCTCGGTGACGGGCGGGCCCGAACACACCGCCGCATCCGGTTAAACATTCACAACTCGTTCCGCCTTCCCGACAGCTGACAGGTTCGCCCGCCCACCAGCACCTTTCCGGAGGACCGGGGTGGGCGAGTCCGTGCAGAGCCGCGCCCCACGCCTCGGCTCCATCAGACTGTGCCAGCAGCGGACACACAGTGAGAACTACGCTGAGGTTACCTGTACTTGAAACTCTCCATTTCTAACTTAGTGTGCATTGAAGTAGCATCCTGTGAACGTCTCTCAGGGCGGCGAACGCAGGCTCATCACGAGGGTCTCTGCTCCTGCGGGCGGCCTTAACTCAAGATACGCCTGAAAATGTCAAGACCAGCGCGTGTGGCCGGGCGCTCCCGTCCCCTGGAGGACACTGTGACTAGGGCCGTGTGTGGAATCCCAGTAAGGTCCAGTCACTTGGCCCTGGTACGTGTCTGCACTGTCTTGGGAAATGCTCATTTCTGGTATCAAAGATCCTGCTTTAAAAACCCACCCCCAAGGCAGTGACGGCGTCACATACGGGCTCGGGAAGCAGCGACAAGGCCAGCGCGCGGGATCCCGGCAGTTTGTAGAAAGAACGTCCCTCCCACAAGTCCTCTTTGAAAAGGCTTAGGAACGAAGCACGTCCGCATCCCCGCTGTGAACGGAGGCGCTGAGGGACCCAGACGTGTCCCCTCAGGGCAGCGACGGCGCCGCTCACCGCTCTCTCTCCGGGGGCCGGGGCCAGGCTTCGCGCAGACCTTACCTGGCGCGTTCCCTGCAGCATTTCCACAGAAACACAACAGACTTCGAGTTTGGGACGGACGGGCTCCCAGCCCAAGTGCTGCTATCCTGCCCGCAAGGGACAGAAGTTGTAGCCCTTGCTCCAAAGCGCGATTCTGCAGAACTTCGTGACGTGCAACGAGAGCGAATAAAAGGCCGATACGCATCTTGGATTTAAAACCACTTTTTATAGTGTGTTGTTTTATTCAGTGGTCACACCCGAGGCTGCGATGGCAGGTACAGGTGTGGGGGGTATAAAGCTGCGGACCTGCTCGGGGAACCACGCCCTCGACAGGGCCACCCGGGCTCGGAGGACGGCGGAGGGGCGGGGGCAGGATGGCACGCACGTGTGAAGGCCCGAGTGTGATGGGGGGCCGGGGGGGCAAGAGTTTCAGAAAGAGAGATGTTCCGTCAGACAACTTTCCTCTGGGGCGTGAACCTTTCGGTCTGCAAACCGGAAAGGAAGGCTCAGACTGAATAAATACACGTGTTCCGAGTAACGGCCTTCACTGAGCACTGTCCCCCGACTGCGCGCCGAGCGGGGGTCCGCGGAGCAGCGGCCCGCGCCCGGCCTGCTGCAGGTGGAGGCCGCCCGTCCCGTCTGCGAAGGGGAGCGGCAGCACCGCGTGCCCCTCACGGGGAGGACAGCGCCCCTCCTCCGAGAAGACGGCCGGGCTCAGTCCGCGCGCTGGCTTCCTTAGTTGACCTTGTCCTGGAAGATGTACAGGTTGTTGGTGGCGGCCACGGCGATAACGTTCTCCGCCGGGTGCCAGGCCGTGTGCAGGATCTTCTTGTTGAAGTCCAGACTGTCCACGCTGATCTCGTCCTTCTTTCTCTTGCCGCCTGTACACACTTTCCGAGGCTTTAAGCTGGCTCGAGGCTTACTGTTCTCCCGGGAAGCTTCCAGCGTGACGTCCCTCCGCGTGTTCCGATCGAACATCCTGAAGAAGTTGTTGTAGGACCCCGTCATGATCGCGCTGCTCGAGACAAGGAGAGAGAGCGACGCCTGTCAAGGAGGAAGCACTCAACACCCCTGCCACGCGCGGGGCCCCTTCCCTCACCCCCCTCTACCTGACGAGACCTTTCTAGAAAAAACGACACTAAGGATGGTCTGGAGAGACATGCAGGGGAAACTTCCTGCTGAACGGTGTACGTACAATCACGTCAGCAAAAAAAAGTACAGAATAGAAAAGGAAAAACAAAATAGTCACACTCTTAATTACACTTTTTTGTTTTTTTTCGTGATCTCCACACCCAACGTGGGGCTCCAACTCACACCTCGGAGATCAGGAGTCCCACGCTCTTCTGACAGAGCCAGCCAGGCGCCCCACGTTAATGCCTTTTTAAAAAAGTAAAAAAAAACCAAAGACAAAACAAAAAACCCCGACACAGTGACCTGTCCCAGCCACAGTAACAGTGTATTTGTTTTCGGGTCTGGAACGTTTGCAACTCTGCCGATGACCGAAGCTGTGCTCAGGGGACATCAGTCAGACTTGTCCCAGCACAACACACGGTTGCTGGAACAGTACTTGATTCATTTTGATGTCAAAGAGTTACTCCACGGGAAGCAACAGGAACACAAAGAGGAGAAGTCCTCGACCTCAATGTGGGTCTCGGACGCTGCCGTGCTGCCCATGTTCTTTCTCCAGCATTAACGCTAGCGGCTTCCACCGTTTCTATTGTCAAAACATTTGTTACACGGGTAGAAACTTCTGGTCTTTTTCTACAAAACGCAGACGAAAATGGCTCACAGCCCATGTTGCCATGATTTGGCCCACGGCTTTAGGACGAGCCCCACTGCAGACCCCGCAGCCCGCCATCCGATCGAGGCCCGGCCAGCAGCTGACCCTGACTGCGGGCGAACCCCCCGGGGTCTGACTAAACCGCACGCAGGAAACAGGCTCAACTCCGGACCACTCTGCTCTTGAGCCCTGGGAGTGCCCAGCCGGGGACGCTTGCCAGCTCAGCCTCGGGCCGGATGCCAGCAGTGAAGGCTGAGTGGGGTGCACCCACGGGGAGCTGCCGTCCGTGCTCGGGAAGCCACATTTCCTGGGAACACAGAGGGTGGGAGGCTCCCGCAGGGCTCGCCGTCTTGTGCCTGGCAGAACCCACAGCAGACCGACTGCGGCAGACCCCGGACCCCGGCTGCTCTGGCCACCGTGCCTTCACGGGAGCTGGGAAGGCGGCGTCCCCACCGCACTGGTCCAGTGACCCCAACCACACAGACGACCACCTTCCCGAGCACTTGGCCAGGTGTCACCCTGTTCGCTGGTACAAAGCGGACTCAGGAACAAGTGGTATGTCCGTTTTTGCTGCCGGACAACCTGAGCACAGCCAGGCGGTGCCAGGGACAGCACAGCCCCGGGTGGAGTGCAGGTGCCCCCTCGTGCCACCCCATCCCTCTGCAGGGCTTCCTGGCCAGAAGGCGGGGGAGGGTTGGCAGGGATGAAAGAACAGGTAGCTGTTACTGGAAAGCTCTCCGGCGCTCCTGGGGATGGTGACTTAGGGAATGTTTCAGTATTTCGGGTATACCAAGAGGCATAAAGAAAAATACACGGACTGTCCACCTACCCATAGGCCACCGCCCGCTCGGTCCAGAAAGACTGGTCCCCCACCCGGGGCCCCTAGCAGGACGGTCAGTCCTCAGAGCAGGACAGGATCATTCCGGGACATGTTTACGTGTCAAACAGTTAAACATTCTTAAAAACACATCCATCTCGTGCGTTCTACAAGACGAGGAGACATCGAGTCGTCGTCTTCCAACAGCGCGCGCTCTCCGGTCTTTAACCTTGTGAGATCACCTACGGTTCTTCCTGTCGTAGGTTATGAGAAGACCCGTTCCCTGTCCCCTCACCCGACACGTTCGCTAGTTCCTGTCTCTGAACAGCTCTTCCTGCCTGTGTGCACTTTACTGACCCACGCGGGCCACTGCTAGTCTCCAGAGGACCACGGTCATCGGCCTCCACCCCCCAGCCTGCCTGACGTCACTGTCGTGGTGAGAGCCCTGGGACGGCATCCCGGTCACTCCTAATGAAAATGAGCATTTTTATCCATTTTCTTCCCATTTCTATTAACTTCCATTCCTGAGCTGTCACTTTCCTACCGACCAGGAATCCTCTGCATAGTCCGGACGCTTCTCTCCTGAGCAGCTGTAGTTCTCCGCTCGTGCGGGTTTCGTCTCTACTGCGTACCCAGCGTGTGTCCATCTGCCCGGTAAACGCCGCTGACGCTCCAACACCGCCTCCACCTGGATCTGGGCTCACCGCACGCGGCGCTCTCCCACGGCTCTGGCCCCGTCTGTACAACACTCGGCTTGTTCCCTCTGGCTGAGGGAGAGCCATAACCTGCCCCCCAACATGGACGACCGAGACAAATGACTCGTTCAGCGTCCACGTTCCTCAGCTTTGCTCACAGGGCTGGGGCCAGCGGCGGCTGCTTTCGAAGATGGCGTCCTTTCTGGGGGGCGCACCCTGTCTCGTGAGCTCCCCGTCAGGGTGAACTGCTCTCCACCTGAAAGCCACTTATCGCACACACGTTCTGAGCGAGCCCCGCCTTGACGCACACCCCCGGGCCGACAGCAGCTTTGTCACCGCGTGCGGGAGCAAGGACGAGGGCTGCGTCGCGCCGTCCACCTGCTGCACGGAGCGGGCCGCTCTCGGCCGGACCGTCTGTTCTCCAAAGTAGCGCGTCAGGCTTTCCACGGCTGTTTTCAAGGTCTCTCTGCATCTGGAGCCTGTGGTTTCCTTCTGACACGGGGGTGGGGTGGTTTCTGAGCCTCCTGAATCCACGCGCTCACTCTCCCATCAGCTCCCGGAAATCCCTGATCTGGCTGTGCCACAGGCACTCCTGGGCATCTGCAATGTGCCTGGTCCTCCCAGCACCCTGTGCCCCAGGTGCTCCTGACCTTCCACAGGTCCCACTGGCCACACTCCAGAGGCACGCTGATGCTCTTCAGTTCAAAAACTCAAAGTCTGTCTTGCTACTCTGGGTCTCCTACCAAGTCCACAGCCGTTTTCAACCACTGCGCTTTTCGTTTCTAGAAGTCCTATTTGATTCCTTTACGAATTTCCTACGTCATTTTTAGGGCTCTTAGGATTCCTTCCAATGATCTGAAAACGTTTCCAGCGTTCGTCTCTCAGGCCCTGCAACTTACGCTCCAGGATCGGACTCCTCAGAGGGGAAGCTCTGTTGCTGTTTCTGACTTGTTCACAGCAGCTCCGTGTGTACTTGGTACTTCTCACCTGCACGCTCGCATCTAACGGCTTTTCATCGGGGGAAATCCCGAGTCCGGGGGCGCTGGGTGAGGCACACCGCCAGGTCTTCGGTGGGTTTGCCGTCAGCGCGACGCTGGAGTGCTCTCTCCCAAGCCGGGCGCCGGGGCCCCACAGCGTCCAAGCGCAGGCGGGCGGCCTCTCTCTGCCGGAGCGGAGTGCGTGCTGGTTGGGACCCCAGCCCCACTGCTTGTGCGGCCCTGCCCAGGGCCCTGGTGTTGCTGCCAGAGCCTTGGGAAACAGATGCCCACGTGAGGTGTGTGCTGCTTGCCGGGGCGGGTGGAGCCGGTGCTCTGCCTCTGCCCCGGGAGGCTCGCGTCTGCCACAGCGCCCACGGAACACGGGGTGGCGGCGGTCGGCGTGACAAGAAGGCAGGACCTGAGGTGGTTGCTCTTCCCGAAGCCCAGAGCCCTGCCCGCTCTGTAGGGCTTGACTCCTCAGTTAGCTTTTCCAGGTCACACAGCTGGTCCGGATACAAATGCCGCATCCTGGGAGGGAGGGCAGGCTGACAGTTCCACATCTCCGGGGACTTCCATGCTTCTCCCACCCGCCAGGGTCTCAGGCCCCCTTCCCTCAGGACTCCCATCTGGACGAAGATGGACGATGCCGTTTCCATAATCCCTGAGGGTCTCACTGCCAGCGCGCACTGTGTGGACCCAAGGCTTCTTGCCGCAGCGCACCAGCCCTCCCCTGTGAAAACGTAGCCCGCCGGGTCCTGGGATCAGATGTCCCCGGGCCAGCCTGGCACCCCAGCTTCCCGGACCTTCTGCTTCCCGTCGCCTCTTCATCTGGCCATCGCGCCCTCTCCCTCGCTTACGTGCGCGCTCCGTGACCCACGTGCAGAGATCTGTGGCAGCTTGGCCAGCGGCACAGGCCTCTGCCACTCACATCACGGGGAGGCCCCACCTGACGCAGCGTACTACTAGGGACGGTGACAGTCTCCTTCCGGCACCAGAAACGCACCGTGTTGTCTGAGATCGAAAACACAGCCCTCACCAGTACGGCCGTTATTGCCCTCCTCAAAGGACGTGCACGAAATAAACTACGAGACACCAGAGCCACTGCCTCGTCAAGGCCACTGGGACTTCACGCCAGCCACCCCGCCAGTGAACTTGGACGGCATTTCCCTTCTTCCCTCCAGAAGAAAAGGCAAACTGGAACGTGGCCATTCCACACACTCAGTGCTAAGTCCTTCCTTCTCACTCATCTTGGAAATAATACAATAAAAATTATTCTGAAATATTTAAAAAGTATTTTAAAAACAGCCAAAAGGAACTATAATAGCACGTGCACCGAGTAAGGACGGGGTCATGAGCGAGGGGACAGCTGTTCCGACGCGCCCTCGTCTCTGCCTTGAACCTGCTGCTCAGCAGGCAGGCGGCCTGGACGGCACAGCCCAGCAGCCCCCCAGGCCGCTCCTCCACGACGCGCCCCACCTGTCTGAGCCGCTCCAGCAGCACTCGAACTTGTCGAAGACGCAGTCGTTTTCGTACAGAGAACAAAGCTTGCTTCGCAGATACTCGTGCACCTTAAGGAAACCACAGGAAAGTCAGAAGGCGCCGTGCGCAGGTGTGGCACCTTCCCTGCGCGGCGGCCTCACCTGGTGGGTCTCCACGGGCCGGCTCTCCATGTTGAGGTCCCACACCTTCACCGACAGGTAGTCCCGGGTCATCATGTACCGACCGCTGTGGCTGAATTTTACGTCAGAGATAGAGGAGATGATTTCTGAGAAGAAGGACCTACTGCTGGGGTCTTCAGGCTCTTCAAAAACTGAAAAACACAAAGTTTTCAGCTTCTGTTTAAAAACCAGGGAACACCTGGGTGGCAGAGCTGGTTAAGTGGTTTCAGCTCAGGGTCGTGGGATCGAGCCCCACGTGGGGCTCTGCACTCAGTGGAGTCTCCTTGGGATTCTCTCCCCGTCTCCCTCTGCCCCTGGCCCCACTCACTCACGCTCTAAAACAAACAACAAAACCAAACCAAACCCAACCCCCCCACAAAACAACAAACCCAGAGAACAAACCCCGTTTCAAGTCCCTAAGCCCTCCCTGGGGAGCCCAGGGGGCTGCAGACCTCACAGCACTCATGCTTCTCGTCTTTCTGGTATGTTTTCTGGCCTTCAACTTCCGAGCTTAAGAGACTTAGATGACACATCCCAGTGCCGGTTACTGCTAAGGGACAGCATCGAAACAGGCCCTTGGCTGTGGCCTGGAAACGCCCCTCAGGACACTCCGACGGGCCTTTTGGTCAAGAACCCTGTGCTGACCACAGCACCAGCGTGTCTGAGCGGCCCAGGCCCTAGCGAGCCCCGTGCAGACCTGTCCTGTCCACGCCACGGGAAGCCAAAAGCAGCGTCACCTGGGAACACCGGGTCCGGACAGTATCCTCCAGAACGGGCCCCATATACCACAGCCCGTCAGGAAAGGGGTCTGTCTCTGCTGTTCAGGAGTCAAGCTCCGCGTAACAAAACCGAATTACTACTTTCTGGAAGATGCCAGGTGCCTCCTTAGCACACCTTCCTTCCCCCCACAGGTTTTGCTTTCTCAGAAGAAACTCAACAGCCCTCCTCCTGCGCCGTGGTCAGGAGCCCAGAGCAACACCGGACCCAACTGCACCGTCATGCCTTTGGCCCCGGAAACCCCGAGTGCGTGCGTCCGCCCTTGAAGCCGCATTAGCTTTATTTTCCTTTAAATGTAGGAACCCGGAAATGGCTCCGCATTTAGAGTTAATTTTAAGCAAGCCAGTGGCAACACCAAACATTCGTCAAGTCCATTACTTTGCCGACAAGAAGTACTTTGGTATCTAAACTGGTTTACTCAAGAATATTAAGGGGCGCCTGGCTGGCTTGTTCGGTGGAGCGTGCGACTCGTGATCTTGGGGTTGTGAGTTCAAGCCCCGCACTGGGTGGACATTACTAACGACAACAACAGAGTGTTCTCTTCAGAGACACAGGCCAACGCTGCAGGAGGCTCATCCGTGACCGCGGGAGTCCTAGAGGAGGGCTCTGTAAAACACAGTCGGCCGCGGACACCGCGCGTGCGGCAGGGGGCAGCTGAGCAGCGGGTAGAGCGACACACGGACGCCAGGCCTGCTGGTGCCACTACGCGTCGTGTGGGAGCCATTCCGGACGCCACGACCGCGAACGGATTTCACCAGCGGAGCAAGCGTCGTGGGAAATGAAGACGAAGGCACGTCCTCGGACAGGCTGCCGGGACCGGTCAACGGACTGTGAGGACGCGTGAGCAGAGTCCCCAGTCACAGCCTAGTCCCCACCACGGGACTCAGAGCGCGATGTGCACACTTCCGGTTTCCTAGAAGGCTGGGCCTGCTCTTTACGGCTAAACATAAAAGCGAAACTGTCCTCACCTAGAAGACACTTCAAGGCTCAGAGGATTACAGCTAGAGCTTCGCCTGCGGGAACGGGCTTCGAGTGCAGCAAAGCTCACCGCGAACAGAGCCCGTCCCGACAGCTGAGAACCGTCGCGAGTGAGGTGCGTTCCGGGAGCCCCTGCCGAGGTCCTAATGCACAGAGGTAGAGGCGACAGATGGTTCTCGGCTGTGAGTCCTTGGACGAAGCCCAGAGACTCTGGGTGGGGGGAGCACGAGAGCCGCCCCACCGGGGGACAGCGAACGGCGAGTCCGTGGGAGCACGGTCCACGGGTGCCGGCAAGGGCCCACCAGAGGCCACCCGGGGACTCAGGATCAGAAGCTGGTCCTACGCCTGCGCGGGCACGAGGAGCCCAGAAGAGACGCTAAGTCTCTGGAGATGTCTCACGCCTGGGAAGCGGCATCGCCGCGAGACAGAGCCTCTCGGGCACTTACACTTGGAGTGTCTGTCACACAGGGCCGAGGAGCGCATGTCGCACAGTCGGATGGTCCCTTTGCTGCTGCTGTACACGAACACGTTGCACTGCAGCGGGTGGAACTCGGCCGCGGTGATCACCTCCGTCAGCTCCTCCATGTTCACGGGCTTGATGTCCACGATGTCTGCGGGCGCACAGTTAAGGCAGAGCGCTCGGCGGGCTCCAGTCCACGTTCAAGCGAACGTCGGTGCACACGACCCTGCCGCGAGGGCCGAAGCAGACACGCACGGCACGCGAGCCCAGTAAGAGAAGCTGGGTCCCTGCGCGGCTCACACCGCCGCCCCGCGCCTCACCGGGCCCGGACCCACGCGCGCACACGCGGAGCCGGCGTCCTGCCCTCCAGCATCCCATGGGAAGCCGTTCCCAGCAAGACCGGACTTGTCTGATAAAGCAAACAACCAAAGGAAGCAAGGAGCCACTTGTGCAAAAATCCCACACTTCTATCCATAAATCACACACAGGAAAGATCTGTCAGATTCCGAAAGATTCTGCTTTTTCAAGAATCTTTTCTTCATCAGCCATGAAGAGCCCATTCCAAGCGGTCAGAACAGTGCCAGCCCTGCAGTTTGCCAGCTGTAGACATCATTCAACTAAAAAAAAAAAAAGTAGAATCTGGCTCTGGCTTTGGGTCAGGATGGAGCAACAGGGTCCACATGGACCCTTCCATTGAAACATGTAAGAACCAGGCTGCCACAGCTCGCCGCTGGACATGAGCGCAGGCTGTGGCCCTGGAGGGGCCGGAGCCCTGTGGCCGGCCTGGGGACGCTCACGGGCCCTTCTGCGGCAGAGCAGAGGTCCCGGCAGGTTCAGGGAGGAGCACCGAGCAGCAGCCCGTGAGGACACCGCCCAGGCTGCCCGGCTGGCGCCTCCACAGCAGGGACAGGGGCCCGAGCCTCGGGGAGCAGCACGACTCGCGGCCAGAGTGCTCATGTGAGTGGAGCGAAAGGCACTCGGAGGGTCACGGTGCTAACAGAAGCGCGTAGCAAAGTGCCGTGGGTTCTGTGACCTACGTCGCCACAAGGAAGGGCATCTGAAACATGACCGTGGGACGGAGTCTTGCAAAGACAACGAGAAGTAAGACTGCGCAGATAAATCACTTATGAGTCAGAGTTCTCACAAAACACGAAGAAAAAAGATGAGATTCCAAAAGGAGAAAGCCCACAAAGGATGGTAAAAAAAAAAGTTCACACTAATGGACAGTAAATTAACAGAATATACTTCAACTCACCTATAATCAAATAAATTAAAGATGGTCTTATTTTGGTTTTACTGATGTGAAAAGTTATTTTAGGAAGGTCTAGGGTTCTGCTAAAATAGCTCAGAGGCGGCAGGAACGTCCGTCTCCAAGCCTGCCCAGAGGCGGCCCCCACGCAGCCCTCTCTGCGGCTCACGTCCCAGGGACCGAGGCCACAGACGCATGCGCGGCTCAGAGTGTACACCCAAACCTGCGGCTGCAAACCCGCACTCTGACCCGGGGGACAGATGGCTATGACGCGCTAAGAAATCAATGAGGCCAGTGGCAGGAACTCGAGCTTTTGGATGTGCCCCAGGCCCTGTGCACACAGCTCTGCACCCACGGGCTCTTGGGTTGCACAGGACCACAGGCAACCCCAGGACTGCGGGTTTGCGGAGGCAGAGAAAGGCCTGGGCGACGGAGGGACTCCACACTCATTAAGGTCATCGAGTGAACTCGGACCCGGCACCCCGAGTGCTTGCAACTCCATTACCACCGTGTGGAGGAGCCCGTCGTTCGTGGACACCAACCTCCTCACGCAGACGCAGGGTGGAAGCGCGCGTCCGCCGCCTACAACAGTTACCGGTACCGCGTGGGACTGGGGGGAAGAACTTCCCCTGAATTATCTGAATTTTGTTCAACGTGGTCACATATTAACAGAAGAAAGGAGGATTTAAAATATGAGTTTAAGGAGGGAAAGCAGGGAGCACGGGCATGAACCCTGTAAGACGGGAGGTTGTGCCGGCTGCAGGAAGAGGAGACCCCGCGGGCAGGCGTCAGAGCGTCCCTGGCGACCGGGAGCACCTCGGGACGGAGAGAGCTGCCGTGCTTCGCAAGCGGAGTCAACAGCCACACCAAGCACAGGGACAACAGGCCATAAAAATCCGGTGTGAAATGCTAGAGTTTCAAACACCACACACACTTCGTCTCGCGGCTCTTCCTGAGTACAAGGGAGCACACGCGTGTGCCAAACTGTGTCTAGAAGGCGGCCGAGGTGACCTGTGGACGTCTGTCCCACTCTGGCCGGCCCGACATGGCTCCCAAACGGGGGAAATCCTGACCAGTGCCCCTCCATGTGTACACAGGACAGGGCTCTCACTTCTGCACAAATCGACAACTTCAAACACGTGGGCCTGGGCGGCCGCACGTGGACAGTCACCCGAACAGAAACGGCACCCCAGCAGCATTCTGAACACGCGGAAGAGGCCTTCGACAGCTCGTCTTCTAACACAGAGCTCTCCCACGATCAGCCGCTCCTAACCACCCCTCTGACCGAAGCCAGGGTCTTCTATTGTAGTGTCTGTGAGCAAGTTTGGGGTGGAGAGCAGGGGACCAGGCAGCAGTGAACCTCCAGACACACACACACTATTTAAAACTGTCTCTCAGGAACCCAGGAAGGCAGGTCGTGCTCATTTCACGGAGAACTCTCCCCAGGGGTAGAGAGCAGTTTCCAGTTTTAAGGGCAGGTTAACCCAGAGACCTCACACCACAGGCCACCACGTAGCAGCCGTGCTCCGAGTGCCGACTCAGACGCAGGAGCGGACGTGCATCCAGAACGTTCCTGAAGAACAAACCTATGAACAAGGCCAAGACAGCCCACTGATGAAGGATACTGAAGCTTCTGTCTGTGACTTCTAAATGCCATAGATTGATTCTCAGGTCATCTGCAGAAAGATACGTTTCATGATCACTATTTACCGAAATGGAATTTATATGATAAGTGTGAGCATTTGCAAAAATTCGCCGTGGACTTGCTTCTACCATAAGATCCATGGGCTTCAATATTGGAACCTAAAAATGGAAGGAAATAGGAATTCAAAACAAAGATCACCACAGCATAAAAGTACAACACTTACAGTAGAAAACAAAAGGGAACAAATCTGTATTCCCAGCGAGCTAAGAGTTCTGTACAGGCACTACCCAAACAACCGAAGAGCAGAGCTGTGAAAACAGGCTGCGGACGGGGTCCTGTCCCTCCCTGCAGCCGTCCCTGCGGCAGACCACCCCGGCACAGAAACACACTGACGCCAGGGCGGGTGCCCCCGAGGATGGGGCTTCTGCCTGTCTGTCCCGCAGCCACCGCGCGCTCGTGTGAGACACCGTCAAGGACCGCCCCCCTCCTCCCTTGCCGCTGCTGCTCTGCAGGGTGACAGTGTGAGCCTCTTCACTGCCTGGGGGGTCTGCTGCTCCGTGCACGTGCTGGGCACCAGGGAGGGGTGCGGGGAGGGGACAGCGCACAGGAGGGCCCCAGAGAGCTGATGTGGGGCCACGGTCCCATCAGCTCCTGGCCACGTGGCTGGTCCGCCTGTCAGGGCGCCTCAGCAGCTCACTGAATCCGACAGAGACAGTTTCTGGAATGTGTAACGGACTTCAGTGAAAGGGTTTTTAAAAGGAGCACAAAAACCCCATCTCTGTGGTGGGCACTGTGGTCAGGAACAGGACAGCTACACCGCTGTGGAAACAGTGCAGTCGCCTGGCAAGGGGCCGCCTGCGTGTACCAAGGCCCCACGAGAGGCAGGGGCGCCGTCATGGGTGACCGTGTCCACATGTGAGCAAGGAGGAAGAAGTCCCAACACCACTGACATCTAGTGAGAAAGAAGGCAGGCGTTTAAAAGCACAGTAAAAATTAACAGTAGTGACTGTTACTTTCCTAATTAAAAGCCAAAGGGAGCACCTGGAAAGGCCAGGAGGGGAGCTCTCCCTGTCTCTGCCCAAAGTCTGCAAAAGTGAGCTTGGGGGACACGCACAAATGCCACCTTCGTTCTCCAGCAGCTGACCCCACTCCGGTGTGCTCTGCAGCCGGAGGGGTCCGTCCTGCAGGGCGCGCGGCAGGCCGCCACAGCCCCCCGACGGGTCTCTAAGATCCGAGCACACGGCAACTGTCCTGTTAGGACAGAAAGGCGCCTCCTCCTAAGTAGGTCCCTCTCCTGGTACTAAACATTTAAGAGGAAATCAAAATTTAGAAAGAGGAGTATTTGACTCCTACTCAGCTAAATTTGGGCAAATAGTCCTTTTTTAGCTTTTAGAGAGGCAATTAAGAAATCAAATATAGGCCTAAAGTCACAGAAGTCAGTCGGTGCACAGCCTGTTACTCTGAAATCAGTGCGCTCACAGCAGCTGTTTCCGGTGAAACGGCACTTCAGTCCGGTTACACCAAGTGCCTCTGGCGAACGTGCAGAAGAGCTGCTGAGTACAACCGACACGGAGCCCGACGAGACCGTGGGTTTTCCAACGGGCACGCGAGCGTCTGGTGTGGCGGAGCAGGCCGAGAGCCGGGGCAGTGTGCTCGGCGGGAGGCCGTAAAGGCAGTGGGGCACACACAGGGGACACCAGGGCAGGAGGCAGGACAGCGTCGCAGGGCACCCAAAGCCTCCGTTCGGTCACACTTGGAGTTCCACACGATGGGAGCTGGAACCTGAGAGCCACTGTCACTCACGTGGCTCATCACCACGGCATGGACGTGGAATCAAGGTCACGGCAGGGGAGAACCACCAGTGTTTACATCAGAACATCCTGGTTCAAATCAGGGCTTTAGAAACTCTCCCTGAGTCAATCACGCTGCTCCTCCACGTCAACCCCCTGGATGCGTGGTGACACCTGGGTCCTGCGTGCGCTCCTCCTTGACAATGCTGTGTCCTGCACCCTGGGGAGCACCAGCCCTGTGGCTGGGCTGGGGCTGTCCCGTGCGCCCACCATCCCAGCACCCCGTGTGCGCCCAGCACTGAGAGCCTGGGGAACGGAGCAGAGACAGACCCCGCACACTCTGCACCTAGTGTCACTACGGTCTCTCAGCGGGGTGCCCTTCCCTGGAGCACCTTAATGACACGTGGTCACTGATTAAGGTCTTCACTTGATAAACAATATTCAGCAAAGCTTCAAACCTCGTTAAAAAACAAACCAGCCAACCAACAATTTTCACGTGCACTGGCCAGTGCTGTCTTCCTGCCGCTGCCCCACGCACGTGGCACATCCTGGCACCCCACCCTTCCCATCTCCTTCCGCACACCCTCCAGGTGGGCACTCCTGGGCAACACCTGACCCAACTTCACAGCCGTTACAGTGTGAACCCAATCTAGGTGTCAGAACTGATGAAGACGGTCATGTCACAGGGTGCCCGGGGATACCAAAAAGGAAGGGAAGGTATTACGGACGGACAGGCGAAGAACCCTGAAAGCTCTGAGGGTGCCTCAGCTAACCGCGGAGACGCCACGAGAGCCCCAGGGTTGTGTGGTTCATCTCGCACCCGCGGCCCATGCGGCTTCATCCGGAGCACTGCTCTGAGTCCCACGGGGACCTCACCACCACCAGTGTACGCCTTAAAACCTTCGCAGTGAACGCTGATACACCGAGAGAGATTCCTGCTGCAGGGTCGGACTTTAGTTCAGACTTTCTTTAGCATCATCAGATTTTTCTGAACTTACTGTGCGGCTTCCTGCTTACGTGAAATACAGGGAACCCCGCTGTAACACACACGCACACTACGGCTGTGATCACAGACAGCCTCCGCGGGTCGGGAAGGCAGAGGTCACCGCAGTCCTGCTCAGCGGTCTTCTCTACACAGCTGACTTACGCACCGCCCCTGATTAACCAGGAAGAGAACTGGGTAGTTTGAGAAAAAGCAGCGTGTACCCGCAGTGCTGTAATTCGAAATGGGTCTCGAAGCCGTCCATCTTCATCTTTCAAGTTATAACCTTCTGCTCTTTTGTCCCGTTCACTTATTTTCCATAATTTAATAGTTTTATCTGAAAATAAAAATCCCAGTGTCCGTATTAAAAGAAAAACTGTATCACGCACCACTGTTAGTCGAGTATCGCATCAGAGAACTGTATGGCTCTATGTTGACTGAGAAGCTACGAGACTCTGAAGGTGACTTTCCGGTACGGACAGAGCGGACGCTCCGTCTGCAGGGTGAGGAGAGACGGGTGCGCCGGAGGGCAGGGCCGCACGGGAGCGCGCCGGCTTGCTCACTTGTGTGCTTTTCGTTTCCAGCCCACCGCCTGTTCCCCAGCTAGTAATTTACCCTGTGCCCGAAGTTTAAAGCAGAAACCACTTGTAGAATGGGTTAAAGTAACAAGTAAAGTAAAAATCTGCTACACCCAGCAAATTAAAAATAAAATCCTAAATCAAATAATCCCTTAAAAAAAAAAAAAGCTCTTACCATTTGTAGAGAGTAGAAAATGAGCAGCATTCTGTTGTGGTAGCCACCTAATTTTATTAATTTTTTCCTCAATTTCTAGACTTTTCAAATAGTCAAACTCTGGTTCGTGACTCTGAAAGGTGCTGTAAACGTTATACTCTCCCCTGGAGTGAGGGCGGCTTTTGTTCTGCAAGGAAACGTGAGCTGGGTTAATGAACAAAGCACAGGACAGAGAAAACTTCAGTACCACCAATCTGAATATAAAATGACTACACACATTTTTAAAAATTAAAGAAAACCCTGGGTCAAAAATTATCAAGTAGAGGACACTCTGAAATAATTTACTTGGAAAAAACAAGTATCCGATAGTTTCGCAGACCTTCTACCCCACGCCGGGGCTCACGCGCTAGAGCCGGGTCTGTGGGACGTGCCTGCCGCCTGCACGGGAGCCAGGGGCCCCTTAACACAAGGAGGCTCCTCCACGGACGCACTTTTCCCGGAGAGGCAGGCGGGCCCACGATGGGGGCAGCACGGGGCAGTGTGGCCCCGTGCGGTCCACACCGAGCCCCAGAGCAGCCCGCCCAGACAACAGCCCCCGCGCGCCACCCCAGGAAGAGGAGGACCACGCAGCGCTCAGGCAGTGACCAGCACCAGCAGAGGATCCCTGCGATGGAATTTTCAACACACATAAACAATCCGTACAGGACAGTAAAAGCAGAAAAACATGCTTGGGAAGATGCATATTGTCTTCAAAATAATAACCAACTCTAGGAAAGCAGAGTGAGAAGGTGGCAGATGTGGGAACCAAGCTGGAAGACAAACTAGGGAGAGCACCAACTGGGGCCACCGCTACCTGCCAAGCAAGGGCTTTTCTTTTAGGAAAGAGGAAAACCTTGGTGGTGGGTTCATAAATGTATTTACATTAATCTCTGAAATCTTCTGTAACCAAAGTGACATTTTCTATGACACAGTAAAAATATCACATAATTAAAAACCAAGGACAGCAAGATTTTAATTCTCGCTAGATCATCGGCACCTGAACTCTTAGATGTTTACACTTGAGGCTGTGCGTCAAGGACATCGAATGAAACAGAAACCTTTATGTCTGGGCTTGTGTATTTCTGAATTAAGATCACATGTTATGAGAAAACACCCCCCAGCTCCTGAATCTCTCCCCTGCATGACTCTCTATGGGCCGCACACCCCCGGAAACCACATGCAGACCCCAGGGTCTAGGACCCAGTTGCCACGCGTGGCTGTGTTAGGTGCGTTAGCTCTCTCTTCAGGCCTGCATCCCACCCCCCACGAGAAAGCAGAATACACCAGCAGATGCTTCTACCTTGCCCACGAGAAAAAGGAAATTGAAATCTTTAAAGAAGAAAACTCTATGGCATCAGTCTCCCAAGACCGTGACCCACTCCGAGAAAACAGCAGGACACGAACAACTGTCTGAGGCACCCACACCCAGGGGCCACCTGTCCTTCCCACCACGCTCTCCGAGAAGACGCGCTACAGGCGTCTTCCTGTTAGAACCGTGCCGCCCCCTGCCACCCCTAAAACCTCCGTCCTACAGGCTGAGACTCCGCGTCAGCCTCTAAGGACCCCCAGGCAGGGAGCAGTCTCCACGCTGTCCGGGAAGAGGTAAGAACAGAAAAGCGAGCGGAAGGGCCTCGAGGAAGACGTGCTTGCCCACGGCGGCTGGGTCCCTAGGAGAGAGCAGAGCCAGAGCCACCAAGGCTGCCCGCCTGAGGTCCTGGGAACAGGCTTGGCGAGGAGGACAGGAAGATGGTGGCAGGTGCATTCTTGTTCCACTATGCTGCGTGCTGGTGTCAGAACTACTTACACCCGATAGTTTGCCCCGTGAACTGCAGAGCCGAGCCAAGTCCCTCAACCCTGCTCGCCTGAGGCTGAGACACTGGGCTGCGGGGAACGGAGGCTCCGCCGCTAAGAAGGAAAACAGCTTGAACATCGCACTGTGAACTCTGCTCCCAGCCTCGCGCCTCGGACACACCCTGAACTTTCCGACGGCCCCCTCTCGCCCTGACCCCATGGCCGGACACCCGTGCCCCCTTCCGCACTTCAGCACAGCCCCGTGCCCGGGGTCTCCGCAGGGAGGGCGGCGGCGGCTGGACTGAGAGCACTGGGAGAAGTGAGCGTTCCGTGCGGCGAGCACCAAGATCCAAGCGGAGGGAACGTGAGGGCTTTTCAGGTCAACCAAACTATGAAGAAAAAGCTGCCCAGGGTTTATTAAGTTGCAGACAGCTGGGTTTATCAAACTTAAACAACGTCAACAACCTGCTTCTGCGTGAACCCGTGGCTTCACGTGACTGACCCCGACGATACACCTCAACGAAACCCTAACCACCGGTGCTCACGGCGGTGGCGCCCAGCACAGTGTGTACCAGGACGCTCGAGTACGACTATAATCTACCTCCCATTTGAACCTAGTACTTTCTACGTTTAAATGAGGACTCGCAAAAGGAGACAAATTTCATTTTCTACAAGGATACATTTAGATGGCAAACGTAAAGGAGCTAAGAGCGAACTGGCCGACGGCTCCAGCTCGGCCGTCTACCGCCTGGCCCTTCTACTGCAAGTCGGAAGCACGGCCGCTCGTTCACAGCAGGCCGGCCCGCGACCGACGTCTGGGAGGGGACGCAAAGTCAGGGACTTACCCAACCGTCTGTGAAGACCTAGACAGACTAACAACATATACACTACCTACAAAAGAATTCTTGCCACCCCAAATCAGAAAAAATAGGATTAAACCTACTGAACTAAAAAATTGTCTTTTTAAAAACATAACCAAAATGTGGACATAACCAAAATCAGAGCTACAACAAGCACACTTTAAGGACGAGACGCTGACCCTCCACAGTGCCCTTCCCACGGACCAGTGCAATCCTCCGCTTCGGCTCGGGGAGCCCAGGGCTCGCCCTCCCACAGACGCCCCCGAGCGAGCCTCGCCGGTGGCAGGGCCGGCCGCCGCCCGCACGCACGTCTGCTGGAAGGAACGAGGCCCACAAGGTGCTACAGCGGAGCTCCACCATGGAAGGGTAGAGACCAGATTCCGAGGATGAGAAAGGACGTGCCTGTGACCTGCCCCGACAAAGATGAGGGCCCTTTGTGTGAAGCTGGCGGGAAAGAGGAGGCTGGGCTGCACCGTGGTTCCTGACTACAGGATGTGCACCCGGCCCGGCAGAGCACCCGGCCACCGCGCCTCCTTCCTCAGCCCTCCCCACCAGCTCTGCTGAGGCTCCGGGGCAAGGCCCACTTCTACCTCCCATTCTCTCCTTATGCATTACTGAAAAAGACGGGTTTCTCTGCCCTTTCCCCCAAAGAGAGGGAGTGACCTACAAAATGGCTCATGAGTGCGAGTCCTCTGGGGGGCCCTCCAGGCCCCGTTCTGAGGACTCCTTCCTCTTAGCACGGACAGTGGGGTCCTCGGGGGGCATAGCAGAGGCAGGCAGCTCACCTCTGACTGAGGAGGAAGAGAGAATTCATGGCCCCCAACACACAATCTTTCCCGGAGCTGGCGCCGCCGCAGCCGTCCACCGCGCACTGCCCGCACACTGCCCGCTGGGCCACGGGGCTGGCAGCCAGCGCCTCCAGGGGCCGCGGGACGGATGCTCACCCCCGGCCCCCAGCATAACGACAGGACGAGAGCAGAGAGATGTGGAACTCCACCACCCCACATCCTTCTCTCGGTCCTCACGACAGCCTGTGGGCGGGCAAGGACTCTCCTCTCCCGAAGACAAGGGCACAGGGGACTCCATTGGGGCTCCATGGCTGGATGTCGGGGAGCGGAAGCACGGGTCTTCTTGCTCACCCGGGACAAACGGCTTCTGCACAGGTAGTGTGCTGCGAGGGACTCTAAGTGAAGTCACAGACTGAAAAACGCCCGTTTCTCTCCCTCCTTCCAAGTGACACGAGAAAGGCTGGCCTTCATTTGGCTTGTGGACTGTGAATCACTGACCTCTTGTTCCCGCTGAAAAATAACAACTCTGCCGCCCTTGTCTCCCGTCGCGAGAAGATCTCCAGAGTAATTGAATTCAACGGTTGAGATGATGTCAGCTGCCAATAAAATACAGAAGCAATTTACCAGATTATGATTTGGAAAGGATTATAATCAATAACAAAGGTCAATAAAAAAGGTCCAAAAGACAAACACACACATACACAACTTTCTCGCTGGATAAAGCAACATTTTCACAGGAAACTCATCATTACCAAGCAGCGGATTCCGCTTCTGGCACCCAGAGCCCAAGAGCACATATGGCCTCATGGGCTCCGCTCCATGGACTGAATGCTTGGTCCCCGGGGCACCAGCATTTATTTAGGCCGCATTATCCTGATACAAGGATCCGGAATAAAATCTTAGAAAATTGATTTTAAAAAGAAAACAAAAACACTGGTCCCAGAAGACTGTTGTCTGGTTTTATGACACATGCCTGATATTAACTCATAAAATAAATCTCGTTCTTACATGACATTAACAGATGTTTCAATATTCTTTGCAATACCTTTTGCCGGCTTCTGTACAAAATAACACCATACGCAGCACAAACTCCATCTCACTGACTGGGTGAGACCGTTACCACCCATAACGACACAGCATCGTTACCCAGTGAGACACTACCTGAGATTTCAGACACTGACACACAAAGACCTTGGCCATCGGCTCACTACAGGTGAAGGGCACAGGGTAGGAGCAATAAAGCAAGGGCGGCATCCCGAGGCCGAGGCCTGGAGGGAACGGATCTGGATTCCTGAATGGACCCCTGGATTAAGAAAAACAGGAAAGACGTTTTCTCCCGCTTGGGCGCGCTGTGTGCGGGCCGAATCAAGACAAGGCCATGGGTTGGTCCTGCAGGAGCCGCTGTCCCCTGCTCCGTCCAGCACAGGGACTCCGCGCCCACGTCAGCTGCCCCAGACCATCTCAGCTCTGGCTGCCCTGAGGACGAGCCGGGCCGGATCAGTACAACCCGCCCGGCTGCTGGGGCACGGACGCCAACAGCCCGTCCCACTGGTGGACAGACTGCGTGCTCTGCACACGGAGGACCCCACGGCCGCGGCGGGAGCGTTTAAAGACACTTCTGCTGCGCAGCTCCTCCTCCCACACTAAGGAGCAGACAACGTCTGAGAGTACTTGGAGAACCTGGCCCATAACGGGGCTCTTAAAGGTGTGCGCCAACACGCAAGTCACACAGTTAACACGGGACTCTGCCGTACGCGCTCTCACCTCACCTGCACTGTGCTCCACGCTCTGTTTTTAATTTTTAAAGAGATTTTATTTATTTTAGAGAGAGAAAGAGAAAGAGTGAGAGAGAGCAGAAGGGGGAGGGTCGTGGGAGAAGCAGACTCCCTGCCCAGGAGCGGCCTCAAGGCCCACACCAGCATCAGGACCTGAGCTCAAGGCAGCCGCTTAATACACAATGAGCCACCCCGGCGCCCCCTGGGCGCGACCTTTAAACACACACGAATTCTCCTGCCTGGGATGTCCTGCCTTCCTTTTTTTTTTTTAAAGAAACAAAAACACCCCTCAGTTACAGCTGGGAAAAGGACTGGGCTTCTTGTTAGAAGTGTCACTTTTTAAATTAAATTACTCAAAATAACCCAATTTGCTTAAATGAAATTAAAATATCCTGGACTAAATCTCTGTCGTTCACACCCAGGGAGTCTATGATATTATATAGTTAACGGCACTCTAGTTCTGTCAGTGATTTTTAAACTTAATTAAAACGGACTGAATCTTTTAAAAGAGAAACTCCCAGGACTGCCACTGGTGAGAAATTATTTTCATTGAGCTGCGCAAATATGTGTGAATCTAAAGTTAGAAAATGTTGTCCACAGAGTTTAAAAGAGCTCTAAAGTCAAAACAAATATACAAACTAAATACCTACAAAATTATAAAACCAACAAAATTTAGATTACCAACATGAATTTAACATGAAGGCCATTACTCTACAAAACTAGTGTGATGCTAAAAGCAAAAATATGGTACTGAGGGCACCCAGTGGGGCCTTTGCACCGGCCACGCACCGCACGAGGACTCGGGACGCACTGCTCCGTCTGTCTGAGCAGCCAGAGGCGCCTGCGCAGGGCCCACATGCACACGGGCCCTGCTGGCCCAGGGGTGGCACTGCGTCTCCGCAGAGGGGCAGCAAGGCTCGGGCGCTGGTGCACAAGCCGAAGCGAGGCACTCTGGCGGATGGGTCATCTGGCTGCTGCAGAACTTACTCAGCCTATGTTTTAAGTCATACTCAGAAACCATGACACACGCCTGGCAGTGCCCAAGAACCCAGCTTCGACTTTCTGTCAAGTGCGGCCCACTGCTGGCAGAGGCCTTTCCCTCCCACCACCACCACCACCACCACGATGCCGGAGAGGACTGGAAAAGTGTCCAACCACAAAGCAACAATGCTGGGCAGGCTCTGACGTGCAGGGGACAGCGAAGGGGCAGGAGGCGTGATAGGTGACAGTCTAAGTACGCACAGGGGGCGAAGTCTCAACCTGCCCGGGGCCTCGGCCACGCTGCACACCAGGTGCTGGGCATGGAGCTGGAAGGTCATTTCCTGAACTGCTAGGTCCCCCAGCTTGTCCCCATCCTGTCAGGTGGGCGCACACAGTTACTCCCCCTTCCTGTTTCCCAAACGCCGGCTGCCGCGAGTGAAAGACCCTCCCCAAAAGGAAAAATGTCGGAAGAAAAGGTTCAATGGGGTCCTTAAGAAGTGACCGACCTCAGGGAAGCCCTCCAGCTGGAAGGCCCACCTGCCCACGGAGCTGCCTGCCGGCTCCAGATGGCTGCGTCTTAGACACGAGCCCATCGCTCCCGATCTGCAGACGGCCGAGCGAAAACGCGCAAACAAGGCAGCTGGAGCAAAGACAGACAGTGCATCGACAAAATGTCAAAGAAATGACAATTAATGTCCTCAAGGGAGCTAATGCCTGCCAACAGGAACGACATCACCAATGCTGGCTGGGCGCCTGCCAGGGGCCAGGGGCTACTCTAACCGAGTGTGGCCCCGGGTGAAGTGGGCGCCCTTCCAACAGCCCAGGAAGCAGGGCTCCTGTCATCCCTCTCTGCGGGAGAGCAGCAGGCCCTGGGGTGCAGGGCGGGGTCCCTGGAGGATGGGCGACAAGAGACGGAGAACAAGGAAATGCGCTTTGAAATTCAAACAGTAATAATTTCAAAACTCAACACCTCTTCCAAAGGGTAGAGCCGGAAGACAGAGATGGACAAGAGGAGAGAAAAGGTCATTAGAGGACCGGGGTAGTGGCCCATCACCAGGTAACAAGCCCCAGAAAGGAGAAGAGAAAGCGACACAAACATCAAAGGACTAAGAGGAGCGTGTCCCATAGCAGGAGCCCAGGAGCCTCCAGGCTGACGAGGTCCACGGAAGGCTGAGCCGGACCCAGGAGCAGACCCTCGCCACGGTGCCTCACTGTGGAAACCACACCACTAGGGATAAAGGGGGATTCTAAAATTCTCCCGAGAAAACAAACAGGTCACACAGCAAAGGAATCAGAGGGCAGCAGACAGGATGTAGGAAGACGGTGGCTGGAACGCCAACCGTCCTCACAGTTCCGAGAAAAACCAGTTTTTAACCCATAGTTCTACACCTGGCCAAATTTTCATCTGCACTTAAAAGGGCAGAGTAAAGATATTTCAAACATGGAGGGGAAAAAGGCAAAGATCACAACAAAAGCCCCTTTCTCAGCAAATACTGGATGATGCAATTTGGCAAAATGAGAATAAAGCAAGGGGAAGGCAGACGGGGAGCGAGCGGACATCCCCGTGCTGGCGAAGACAGGCCAGGAGGCCATGGCGCTGGGAGCAGCGGTCCCAGCGGGGCAGACGAGCGCTGGAGGGGCCCGCCGTGCCTGGGACGGCCCGATGACGTGGTGGCAGAGCTGCCGCAGCGTCTCTTCCCACCGCAGCAGACACAGAGGACCAAGCGTGCAGAGCCACCAGGCAATCGTCCGCTCTGGGGAAAATGAAATTTGTATGAGAAAGAGAACAGAGACCGCAGCTCGGGACCGGACACTGTCTGCCGTCAGCACAGCGCGGAGGGAACGGAGACGCCCAACGGAGTCCTCTCAACTCTCTTTCCTTTCCTGTTTCTTCGTTTTCAGGGAGGTGGGTGCATGTGGGTGGAAGGTGATGTCAGCAAAAAAGCTAAATCATCAGTCACCAGAACAGGAAGTCAGTACTTACAGTTCAGAATAAAATCCGGAAAGTGGAAGTTAGCAGTGTGAGACGCCCGGCCGTGGGGGTGCTTCACGGCCGAGGGGCAGGCGGTAAGAGGCGCTGGATGGGAGAGGACGGACCGCGTGGACATAAGGAAGCAGGAAGAGGACGTGTGGAGGGGCAGGGGGCCCAGAGGGGAAACGTCGTCAACAAGGCATTAAAAGATGGAGAACATGAGGTCACGTTCATGTGCCCATGGCCTGGCGTAGCCGCGGGGGCTGATGACACACGAGAGCTGGGTTAGCAGAAGACAGGCAGGGACAGGGGCACCTGCACTGGGGGGGGTGCGGGGGTCAGGGAGCGCACGGCACAGGAGAGGCAGGAGCAGACCTGGGCGGACACGCGGTGTCATGAGACGGCCGCTTTCTTCTAGGAGGCAGGACAGAAGAGTCCCCTGCTCGGAGCACCGGTCTCGTGGGGGTGCGTGAAGGGAGTGTTCCCGGGGCAGGAGCCGACCACAGCAGAGAAATGCAGGGTTGGGTCAATGCCACGTGAGATCTGAGGGCTGCAGCTTATTTTCTGAAATTCAGCAGACACGTGAGTGGCTACCGTAAGCCAGACAGTGCCCTGGGCGCTGGGGACACAGCACAGGCCGAGTCCCTGCCACCATCTCCACGAACGGAGGAACTCTGAACGACCCCTTCACTGCAGCTGGCGGAGCTGCGCGCGCGGGCAGATGGGGACCAGGTCTGGGCTTCTGCCCGCGGTGTGAGGACAGGGGCTGAGACAGACAAGGAGGGTCACAGAGAGCGAGGAGGGACTCGGAGTCTGGCCCGGGGCCCCACCCAGGCGGCGGGGGGGGGGGGGGGGGGGGGGGGAGCCC